GACCGAGGCCTCGAGGCGGCCGCCCCGGGCCCCGTCACCCCCGCCCGCCCCCCGTCAATCCCCCGGCACAATGGGGACGCCGCCGATGACTGATGTCCGCGAAAGCAACTTGCGGGGAAGTGGCGCTGACAAACGCCCATCAGAGGCGGCGCATAATGAACGGGCCACGGAGGGCGGCGGAGGGGAGGGTCTGGGACGCGGGCGCGCGCGGGGGACCCCGCGGTCCCCGCTGGAAGCTGGGCGCTGTCTTCCGCAGCCCAGGTGAGACGGGACCTGCCACCAACTGCCTTATCCCGTCTCGCCCCCCGGACCCGGCGGACCCGCCAGTGCGAGGTTCCAGCACGTCGGGGGCCTCGGAGGGGCCCCCCTAGCGGCTGGCGAGAGAGGGTGCTGCAGAGGCCGCCTGGAGAGCCCGAGAGAGGGGCGCAGAGACAGAGACCCTCAGAGAGCAAGAGAAAGGGGCACAGAGAGAAAGGGAGAAAGGGTGACAGAGGAGACCAAGAAGCAGAAATGCCGACCGAGAGAGCGGGGAGTAATCCCCAGGGAGAAGCCGGGGGAAGTCTGGCGGCCACAGAGAAGGGCGGGGAGGGGAGAGACAAGCGGCAAGAGGAGACGGGCGCGCGTGGAAACCCCCCTGGTGGGCGAGGGGCAGCAGTGCGCATGCCCTGGAGGGCCCCTGGCCTGAGCGCAGCGCCCTCTCCCTTAGGGACCCCGGTGAAGAGGGGCTCTGGAGAGGGTTGGGGGAAAACACACCCTCACCCCCTTCCCTGGTTCCCCTGGCCTCTGCTCCCCAGCACCCCCCCCCCCACCAGCCAGCAGATACTGACACACAGACTCCACAGCAAGGGGGTTGGGACACGGGGACAGGACAGGGGTGGGGATGGACCCTGTGGAGTCCAGTGTCTAGGCCAGAGACTCGGCTCCAAGTTCAAGGGCTCTGGGATGAGCCAGGTGGGCTGGTGTCCTGCGTCTCTTCCAGGTGCATCAGGGTTTGGAACCCTGGTCCTTCTTAGGGGAGGGACAGGTATACAGGGCATAGGGGACTCCCTCGGGCTGTAGGAGCTAGAACACCCCATTGGGGCACTTCGCACCACCCTGGCCTAACACAGATAAAGCCTGAGGTCCCGGTGGGGGGGCACCCCCAGAGCATCACCCAGTACCTCGGTACCTAGGAAGGGCCTGTCAGAGCCCGTGAACATTCTAAAGGCTGGACCCCCAAGTGCTAGACCCTCAGACTCTTAGCGATGGAGCCTGCTTTACTGAGGACAGAGGACAGCCCCCAGGGACAGAGCCCAGAGAGGAACTTGCTCACTGGGGCTCCGCCCACAGACCTGGCCTGAGGCTGCTGTCACTTGAACTTCTTACCAGAGCACAGGAGGGACACAGTGAGGCTGTCAGTGCCCTAAATGCCAATAGCTCTGCTTCTGGGAGTCAGGTAGGTACCTCCTGAGGTGGTGTCCAAAAGAAATGTAGTATTCCAGAGGGAGAGTGAGCACGGAATTGGGGGGAGGGGGGCGGGGGAAGGAGAGAGAATAAATTTTAGAGAGAGTGTGGGAGCACACGCCATCTGCTGGGTCGGGGGAGGGCAGGGTTTCGGACCCCCTTTGCTTAGGCCTCAGCCTCCCTCCCTGGGGTCCCTTGGGGAAAACTGGGAGGCACCAGAGGAATCCCATGGGAGAAACTGGGTTTGCAGCCTTGCTGGTGCTCCAGGGGTGCCCTGGGTTTACTTTTGACGCTGACCGCTGTGGCTCAGCCTGTGCCTGCCTCCCAGTCGGCCTGGCCCTGGGGCAGAGCAGGGCCCCAAGGGTGGCAGGAGGCCAGGAGGGCAGGGGGTCTGCTGGCTTGGTTCACTGTTGTGCCCGCAGCTCCCAGACAGTGCCTAGCCCCTCAGTGCCCACTCTGAATGAATGAATGAATGAATGAATGAATGGATGAATGAATGAACGGCTCAGCCACTCCCTCGCCATGTGGCTTTGGCCACGTAGCATTGTTCTTCTAAGATGCTGACTCCTCACCTATAAAATGCCTCAACCATGGTGAGAGAGACTCAATAAAATTACCCCAGCAAAGGCCCCTGACACCTATCGGTGCAGAACAGGCCCATCAATAGGGAACCACAGTTTCCTATGCAAACCATGACACCTTGGAGAGTGAAAGGGCACTATTAACAGTGGGCACCCATGGCTTGAGGTCCCTTTTGGTGAGTTTTCCGAGGCAGCAAAACTCCCTGGGCTGTGGGTCCTGTTCTTCCCTGGGGTGCCCTGAAGTCAGAGGGTGTTGTCTAAAACCCACAGCTGCCTTCTCCCCCTGCACCAGGCCCTGCGGCAGCCCCATCCTTTGCTGGTGTTGGGGGGCACTCGCCCACCCGCCTACCCTCAGTCCACTGCCCACAGCCTCTCCCTCCAGGCTCCAGTGCTCTGTTCACCCACCCACTGAGGCCTTCTTCTTCATCGAACTCTCCCTGACCCCATCTTCCCTGGCCCAGGAAGCCCCCTGGGCACCCCCGAGGGCCTGGGCTGGGCTCCAGGACGTGGGACATTCCTGGGCTGCCAGGCCCTCAGGGGCTCAGTCCCAGCCGAGCGAGGGGGACCTAACTCCGTGGCATCTTCCTGGCAGGGTAGGGATCTCATTCACAAAGCCTTGCTCGGCTGGGCTGGGCTGAGGCACCCACACAACCCACACCACGGTGACCCCCACCCCTCCCCCCAGCGCGGAACCAGGTGGGGGGGTGTAATGTGGTAATAGCGACCCTGTTAATTGCTTCCAAATGGTCACTGCAACCATTTGACTAATTGGTCTCTTCCAGACCCTGGCCTGGACACCCCCAGGCCTGGCCCCAGCCCGCCTCACCAGCAGTCCTGAGACCTCTGCTCTGGGTGCCCCCACCCCCAGGTCCCCTCTCAGCCCTATCTGGTACCTGGGTGACACCCTGTGACCCCGCCCTCAGGTCCAGGCCTCACAACTCCAGACCCTTCCCCTGGAGAAGGAGCCGGGGAAGGGGACAGAGAACAGTGTCCTGTGATGTGGTCCCAGCCTGCCCACAGAGGTGACTATCAGATGTGGTGCTGGCTCCAGGCCCCAAACTTACTCTAATTGCGAGCCCCAAGAGCCGTGGGAGAGCGCCCGGGCCTACGGTGTGCCAGCCCGGAGCCACTGGCGCTGAAATCCTATGGGCAGCCCTGCCCAGCCCCACCTTACAGATGAGCAAGGGAAACTCAGAAAGGTGCATGCACACAGCTGGCAGGTGAGGCAAGGTGACTGGGAGGTCTGTCTGTCTGCCTCAGTTTGTCCACCTGGACCTTTGACCCCAAAAAGCTGTCAGCCTCTGCTTTTGCTTCAGGCACCATTAGGGGCCTCGAGCAACGGGCGGAACTTGAAGGCGGGATTTCCATGCTGAGCCCAGCCAGTTCTCTGCCTGGTAGATGTTACCTCTGGGAGATCAGATGGCCACTCTGTCCAGACAAGGCCACCCCACTCCTAAGAACAGAGCCTGGTTCTGTCATCAGGCAGGAGCCCACTGATTGTGGGGGCACAGCTCCCTCCTGGGGTGCTTCTAAATGGCACCTGCTAGGGCGTTCCTTAGTGCCAAATGTCCCAGGAACCCCGGGCCAGAGAGGTGGTGGGGCCGCTGGCTCCTGAGGGGACTTGAACACTGCCTGTACCCAAGGAGAGTGAGGGCTGCTAGGCACAGAGAGGAGTGGGACCCCCTCTCCTATATGCCAGAGGACCCTGGGTTGGGTCCAGCTCTAGACTGGTGTTGCAGGCCAGCAGCACCCCAAGTGCACAGTGGCTCACCGAGGGGGCAAATGAGAGACCCAGAAGGCTGTCTTGCCGTCTGAGGGCCTAGGGCTGCGACTACCCAAGCTGAGGCTTTTAAAAATTATATTTATTAGTATGTTTTAAATTTTAAAGAGCTTTACTGAGCCATAATATACATGCCCTACAATTCACTCGTTTAAAGAGTACAAAGTCAATGGGCTTTTAATGCCTTCACAGACTCGTGCAGCCATCACCTTCATAATTTTGCAACATTTTCATCACCCCGACAAGAAGCCCATACCCTTTAGCTATCACCCCGTTCTCCTCCGCTCGCCCTCAGTCCTAAGCAACACTGTTCTGTCTCTATGGGTTCGCCTGGTCTGGGCATTTCATACAGATGGAGTCATACAGTATCTGCCCTTGGTGCCTGGTTCCCTTCACTCAGCATAACGTTTTGAGGTTCACCCAGGCAGCAGCATGTGTCAGAGTTTCATTCCTTGGCATGGCTCGGTAATATTCCACCATGTGGGTGGACCACACTCTGTGTATCCAGCCATATGTTGATGAACCTTTGGGTCTTTCCTGCCTATTTGGCTATTGT